CAGATTCCAGAGTCTGAATGTTCAATGAAATCGCTTTATAACTGGCAGGTCTTGGATGCGACCCCAGTTTGGTGAAGTCATGAATGCAAACTACCGAAGAGTCCCAAACTGAGATGAAACTGTGGTTCAGTGTCCCATCGATTTCTAGTAGTTCTTTAACTGTAATCGAACGTGTAACCAATCAGTTTCCTGCAAAATAACACTTGATAGCTACATTTTACAACTGGTGACCTTCAGTGACTTATGAAGTAGCGAAAATCTAAATCAATAGCTCTGAAATATTTTCTGAGACTGCAAAAAAAGTATTCATGCTGAGAATTAGCCAGACATTAACCAGTTTCCTTCGGACTGACGTAAATCTCAAAGCAAGTGAAGTGGTCAGTACATTCAAATATTTTACTCTCATATAGTATCATCTTACATTTGACAAAGACGAATAATATATCCAAATCATTTAGACTTTTGACTGATGGTATTTAGGGGACTGAATGTTTTGTCAGTGTCTTCACATAGATTGAGAATTATACCATCTACAGGTCATCTGTAAATCATGAAAAGACATTATTTTCTTAGTGAAATCAGTTATGCTTGTAACAACATTGGCGTCCACTGCTGTCACCTACATTCGTACAGTTTCTAATGAAATTAAATAAGAACTGTAATGATGAATGTCTCTGAGGGATACCACTCAGATTGTCGTGTCTTTAGATCACAAATTTCCATAAACTACCAAACACCTGTATGAGGTCGACTGGGATATACTTTCTCGGCGACGCATTCACAGAAAACTTCTGTCACAACACGCCTCCATCGACTAAGTGAAATTGAGTTGTGAAGTGGTGAACACTGGTAGTAAGTACACTCACGTATCATAATACTAGAGGTTTGACCATGGGCTGACATCTGTTAAGAAACCACTGGACAACGGCTTTGTCCTAGCTTGGAACTTTTCAGCAGTACACACCCACCACAGGGGCTCGAGAACCTGTTATAAAGACTTAATTTTCCCAAAATAATAAATTTATCTTTACACTGCCTGTTGTATTTCCCTCTCCATCACCACTGACCTTGGGATCCTATTGGCTGTTGACTGTTCTAATTTATTAATGTAACTAGTGCCTCTCAAGGTCATTTGAAGCATATATATACACAAGCGCTATCAACTATCTTCCCTGTTGATACGAGACAGTAAGATCTCCCTGTGTCAACGGTCTATCTCCTCTTCGTGTCTTCTTGCGTCGCGGTTTCGGAGGTATCACAGGGTGCTATTTTTGTTGTTAATGTTGCCAGCAGTGGTTAGAAGAGTAGTTCTGCGAATCAACTATGTGGGAAATTCAATAAAGTAACTACCAAGTGTGTCATCGATCATGCCAGACACAACCTAGCTGCCCATGAATTCCAAATGCTGCCAATTAGTGATATGTGTATACAGAGAAAATACCAGCTCGTGATCAAAACTGTAAGCAACCAAATCCCGCAAACCAACAAATAAAAGTGTCAAAATGCGTCGAAGAGTAAAGGTCGATACGTCGATACACCCTTCTCTCCAGATAGAATTTGAATGGTTTTCTGTGGTCTGTTGTTTTATTAAATCTATCTTGTATTAAAGTCTACAGAAACCTAGAATCTTAGGTCGTATGTCAGTCAGGCCACTGATCCTAACCCCACCTTCCTGAATATGATTATTACAGAAAAGTTTATTTCCTTTCTTACAAGAATTAAGATGACAATGGACAATCTGTTTTATCCCATATCAAGTCATTATTTTCTGTTCGTAACCAATCAAATTCCCGCAAACCAACACTTAAACATCAATTTGAATAAGGCATTTAGAAGACAAATTTCGCGAGATGATATCGTCATTTCGTAGTTTCCTTACGGCCGCTTTACAACTAACATGGTTAACAACAATAAGATAAAGATCATGACAATTACTCAGTTAAATAAAAAACACAAAAGTACATACTAATGACCAATCATATTTAGATAGGTCATGTAGTCCAGGGTAGGCGAAGATTGAAGTCTATTGTCTTTTGTACACACAGTTTAGGCTGTATGTGATTAATCCAAAGTGCTTCCATCACCTTCAATAACCAACCTTGAATTAGAGTTAAGTGAAATAATTGTGAAACAGTCATTAATATTGATTTTGTGACCCTACATTAATAAGTGTTTTGCAATGGATGATGCTGGATTTCTATTCAGATTACTCGCATTGTGATTTTCTATATGATTTAGTAGCCATTTTGGAACATGTTATTTTCGACGACATTGGAACATTCTGTTGGTTCTACCTATGTAGGTGTCACCGCAGCTGCAGGTGAACTTGTAGATACAGTTTGAAGTAGAGTCCACAGAATTTCGTCCTTTAATCGTAGGTACATGGATCGAAAATGTTCGGCAAGTGAGAAAAAGAGATGCGGCGTGGAATGTGCGTTTGATGGCTGACCGAAGTCTTTGAGCTGTCAACTGCATAATGTGGTCACCCTTGAACGGTAGGTTAATAAAGATAGCTTTCTTTGGTACAGAAGCTGTCATTTCGAGATGTGGTCTTTCTTTACTGTGACAATTGATAAATTCCATATTAGTTTTTTTATTTGATATATCACACAGTGAAACAGTATTATTTACTGCAGTAAATAATACTGTTTCACTGTGTGATATATCAAATAAAAAAACTAATATGGAATTACTTACTACCACAGTGCCCAAGTTTTACACATATATTAATTTGACAATTGATAAAGTTTTCCGGATAACCATTAGCTAATAAAACTGAATGTATATATCAAAGGGACTAATTGTTTTAACTTAAACATCAGTCTGATGCTCAGTAGTGACTCTCCCCATCCAGATAGGTAGTTACCTGGGTTCTAGTGAGAAGTTGAGACCAGTGGGTTACAACAGATCAGCAGGGATGAGGACAAATACTCGCCACAGATGACACTGGCTAGTACCAGTCACATTATATCCTGAATCGCCATAGGTTGAAATACATGGGTTGGCCCTTGGATAGGATCACAGTGGATGAGTAATGTTCTACGAGTTCGCCTTATAACAGGAAGTTCTTGAATTTCAACCCCTGTGGTCTGTTCGTACTGCTGAAGCACAGTCCCAATCTAGGCCAACGAAACAGCTATCTGTCCAGTACTTCCTATGGCTGGTTTTCCGATGTTTCTCTAACCGGCATCATCTCATGATGAAATCCTCTAATAAATCAAATCAAATCCCAACAAACCAGTAATTAAATATTTGACTGTTTGAAATTATTTACTTACGCTACAAGACAATCCCTTCCATGCTGGTGGACATTTACAACTGAATTGAATTTCTTGAATAATTCGTTGTTCTTCAGGTATATACTCACATATTCCATCATTAAAACAACTAGATTTTGGTTTTTTTATAAAAGTCAATAAGAGAAAAGGAGATTATGAGTCATACATTATAAGTATGAATAAAAAGATGAGATTTACTTATGCAGAAAGCCAACACAGACCTTCATGAGTCTGAAATCACTCTCAAAATCTGTAGAACTTAAACATACAGAACGGGATTCAAATTTTTGACATTCCAGTCAAGCTAGTCAAGGATTTCTTCCATTGAGTTCAGAGATTTGACGTTTAAGTCACCAGAACCACTTCAAACAGACTCCATATTGAAGATTAAATGGTCCCTCAGTCAGAATGGATAAACAACCAGGAACTCTGGCTACTAACCAGCCATAGAACTCCTAACACTTCAGATATATGCGGAAGGAAATGAGGATGGATTAGGCACACGCTGGAGTGCAGCCCGATTGGGAAACAAATCACATAGATAGGAAGTACATGCCGGAAGGTGACATGGAGTTAGACAGTGTAAGGATAAGATGATATGTTATGGAGAATCTTTGTTCCCTACTCGGGTTCCGCTTGTTAGCCACGGCTTGTCCCATGATATCCCACAACGATCTTCTTGGCCTACGACCTACCCATGTTCTTTAGACAATAGTTTGTTGGTTGACTCGTATCCAGAGTTCCTTGTTCCTAGTGCTTTCTGGCCTGTAGGACATTTATTCTTCGGTATGGAAAAAAGGGTGGTAATTTTGATAGAAGTCTAAAGTCGGTTCGAAATGAGTTTAGTGACTCAAACTTCAAGTCTCTGAACCACAGAGAAGCACTGATTGACTTGACATTAGTGTTTAAACTCTGGAACTTGTTATTTTTCTGCTTAGTACTGTAGGTTTCCAAATGATTGAGGACATTTTTGACAAATCAGACGATAAGCATCCTGTAATAAATTTTGCCATCGAGAAGAAGAGGAATGATTTTATTTCATTTCTGGATGGTTCATGACTAGACAGGGGTATGATAAAATGAAAAGGAGTATAAATTTATAGAAAACCTAAATTGACTGCTCAGTACATTCACTTTTTGACATTTATGTCTTTGTACGTACGTATAATTGACAAGGCTTATACAAGAGTGCTAGTGACCATCTACTAAATTGCTCCATGACTTTCAAGTGTTCGTCTGTGGGCATTTTATCATGAACTGACATCGGTTAGAGAACCACTGGAAAACCAGTTGGTAATACTGGACAGCTGTATTGCCAGCCTGGTTTTTTTGGATTCTTTAGCGATCCACAACTGAGCAGTGCTGTACAGCAGGGCGGGTGTAGGGACAGATACTCCTCACAGACGACATTGGCTAGTGCCAGTCGCGCTATATCGTCAATCGCTTGAATGCATCGGGTACCAGAGGCTGAGTGATGTTCTACTAGCTCACCTTGTAACCGGAAGACCGTGAGTTTGAACACTGGTGGAGGGTGGGCGCGTATTGCTGAAACAGAATCCCAATCTAAGCCGATGAAACAGCTAACTGTCTGCCAATACTCCCCGGTGGTTTTCCATTGGTTCTCTAACCAATGTCAGGGCATGATGAAACCCTACCACGTGACTATCACGTCATCAACAAGCTTCATATAAATGTATTCAGAAAAACCAAAGGTAAATAAACTTACACAGAAGAATCACATTGTTTTTCGATGGGAATACACTTTTTCAGTGTATGATTAAACACATACCCATCAATACATACACATTCATAATCGTAGGCATAAGCAGAACCAAGCAAAGAACGTAAATTTGATGGAATCACCTTCAGCGGTTCACTACTCGGTAGGATAAGACATAAACCATTACTATTAATACTGACATCACAGACATCTGGTTTACGACATGGATTTGGACAATATAAATGGGTATCCTGTAAAAAAGAAAGAAATATATAAATGTAGATAACCGTGATCAATTCAGAACCAAGACTTAAAAAAATTAATCTGATGCTTACTAACGACTTGATGTGCACAGAGAAAGTTCTACAGGAGTTCTAGTGACAAGTTGTGATCAGCTGAATCCACCAAGTCAGGTGAGAGAAGAATTACTCACAGATGACACACTGGTTTGGTGATTGCGTAATAAATGCATCACGAATTGGTAGAGGCTGGAATCCATCGGTGATTGGATTGAATAGTCTACGAGCTTAGTTTGTGATTGGAATGTCCTGGCTTTGACGCCCTGTGGGTGAGTAATGCTGAAGTGGAGTCCCAAGCTAGGATGAAATAGCTGTTCTGTACTCCCTAGGGATCTCCCAATGGTTCTGTGAGTGATACCCACTAGTGATTCTTTTTTTATTCCTGTACGTTCCCAGTAGCACCTTGGGCTTCAAGCTAGAGGCTTGAAGTTTCGGTAGCAGTGGTGTTTACTTTTACGCTTGCACAACCTTCCTTCTTTACCAGTTTTATTACTGGCTTAGGAAGGTAAAGGAGTGCGTCTGTCGGGGATCGAACCCCGAACCATCTGCATGGTTGGCGAGCATTCTACCGCTGTGTCACTAACACACACTAGTCATTAATAGTGAAAAAAGGAATAATTGGAGAGAACAGTCGTCGCCGTCAATAAATTCTTCTTCTTCAGGTTCTACAATTAAAAATCCATTCTAGTGTTAGTATACAAGAGTGTCTTTCAAAGAAAATTAGAAATATTTACTTGAGTGACATCACAGTTAACTGTGATAAAACCGACAAATGCTACGGAAATCCTTAAGCCTACAAAGTTAATCTGTGAGTGAGTGAGTTGGTTGGTTGGTCTACATGACACCCTAACTAATTACAGCCTCATTGAAAATCCTACCTAAGACCTCTGATACTCCTTCTTTATACGGTGGCAGTACTACATAAAAATTTAACCAGACGTAGAATGACTGATCCTGCTATGTTAAATAATCTACAAAAACAGAGCTCAGTCATTGTATTACACTTCTAGTGAAAAGGACTGATGGCACAATAAAAAGATCTATATTTAGAAAGTCTTCATGGACGGGACAGTACATACATTTCAAGAGCTTTGTTCCAATCCATTATAAAAAGAACTTAGTATGAACACTAATTGGTAAAGCACGAAACATTTGTTCTAACAATGCGATTAAACATAAACTAAAGACTCTGAAAGATATTTCAACTAAGAATGGATATTCTGAGAAGTTCATTAATAAATACTCGAAAGAAATGAGACACTGTAATACAATCCAAGCAGTTCCAAAGAAATGTGTACACGTCAATTTTTCACTGAAAGGAGATGATGTACAAGAAGCGGTCAAATAAAGACTTGATAAAGCTATCAAGAGAACTTATTATGCTGCAAAACTTGTTTTCCTTAACACCACAAAGCAAGTGCTTCAACAATCTGGCAAAAACAAATGTTCGTCGATCCTCCACACTTCAAATTGCGTATATCAATTTCAGTGTGTTTGTGGAAGCAAATTCATAGGTCATGCAGAAAGGCGATTGTCTACTCGCATGATGGAGCATTTGTCAAGGTGGTTGAAAATAGCTGAGTGCAAAGTGCCGAAATCCTCAATAATAAAACATCTTGTGGACTACGAACATGATATCGACGCTGTCAAGTCATTCACTGTTACTGTTAGCAGACAAAGAAACAGGAGGATGCTTGCAATTGCAGTGGCTTGTGCAATTCGAGTTTATGAACCAGGTCTCTGTGTACAAAAGCAGATGGTCGTCACTCTGAATCTACCATGGTAATACATCTTACTTATTATTCTACGTCTTATTATTATTTTTGATTCATTTAAAACTATCCTTTATCAGTAGGATTATCTTAACTCACTTCAACATTATTATTATTGTTAATATTATTATTATTATGACTAATACTATTGATATAACTCTGTTTGCAATTCTTGATATATTCTCTAGTGACTAACTGTTAATCTAAATGATGTAACTGAAGCGTGTGATACATTTCATGTTAATTTTAATCTGTCATACCTTCTTTCTCCACTTATCTATTTGAAGATGACCTGGAAAACATTCGCAACTGCTTTTCTGCATGACTAATTCAGTGTAGTTTATTTGCTTATCAGTCTTAGATCTTTCAATGTAATTTCAAAGGGAATTATATCCATGTATTTGGAGTATTCAACTAAGGAAGAGTTCTGCGGAAATTTGATGAATCCATCATTAAATCCTGCTTTATTAACCTTTGTTGTTTGTATGACATTTCATTCACCTGTCTGTGATCACAGAATAGGATGATGGGAGAAGGGTGAGAGTATTAAAAAGTGATATAGCTAGGTGAAATCAGACATAGAGTGGTTATTCACTGAATTTTTGTTTACCGATTCAACACCGAACACGTGGAATCGGAATGATGCAACGTCTATGCCGGAGATATGGAAAGTGGCAACAAACAACAAACGGGGGAAGTTGGAGTGAAACAATACAAACATCAGACAAACTGTGAAGCCACGGCACTACAGCGATATGATTATGAGTAACAATAATTTATGCTCCAAACCTTGTCATTCAGGTGATAATACTGCATCATCACTGTGTGATATTTAATAAATAAACTTATCTAATATGGAATTACATTCCACCATCTGCCTGCGTTCCATCTCCCATGTGAAGTGTTATAATAGGTTGAGCAATATTGAGGTTAGGCTTCGTCGAGTGCTAGGTAAGGAAGGAGGGGAAATCAATAGATGAGTCTGTCCAGTTACATCGATTGAGATGGTTAGGACATGTGTTACGCATACCTAGCCATCACCTTCCTCGGCAATGGGCAATGTTAGCTGACATAGGGTCAGGCTAGAAAACAGCCAGTGGTGGTCAAACCGAAATATGGCTCCATGAGTCAATGAAATCCACAACAGTTAGTTTAAGCCACATAGGAAGATGTGGACCTTTTGGTCGAGGTCCTCGGGACGGTAAACACCAATGGCTGCTGAAGACAGTTGATGATGATATGGCTCAAATCGTTCTCAATGGCGCATATCCACCTACTCCTTGTGACTTATAATACTCAATAAAAAATCATATTGTTCTTCGATATTACTTTTCTTTTTGCCACATATATCTGTTTACTGTCACTATTTTGCGTTTCATTTTACTTTTTTCTCTTGTTTTATGTACTACATGGGGTGTGGCGACTTAAACCGCTGCACATTGGTGCAAAGTTCTGTGTCGGAATCAGTTAGTCAATTCATAAGTCACATTCCACCACTACAGTTTGTCCCAGTTTTACACTTACATTAGCATAACAATAAACCACATCGACTTACATTTTTACGTAAACACTGGCAAATATTTACAAAGAATGATAAGATATTCAAATAACCGCCATCATAATGTTTTGCCGTCCGCGTAAACAGATTTCTTAGTGATGTGGCAAATCGTTTTTCATAGTCTTCCTGTGTAAATTCATATACCATATCAGTAAAACTTTTATGTTCAGCTTCGGGTGTACAAATTGTTCTAAATAAAATGTTTTGTGTTTGGAAAAAATGAAAAGAAAAAAGAAAATTATAAAAAAAATTTTAAAAAATAGAATAAATGATGTAATAACAATCAAATAAAACAGACATAGTCTTACTTTGATTAGACACTAGTAACTGGCGTGATGTGTCTAGTCCTGACTTTGATGAAGGCTGAATTCTATCAGTCAGCTTTGCAGTGTGGCCACTATTCTAGGTAACTCGAAATCACAGTGGTTGGAGGCAATCGGCAGGAAGACTTAGACCTAGGTTTCGTGTTAGCTGGCACTCGTCATGCTTACTATAATATCTTATTGTTATGTACGTAGTGATACCAGGTTGTGGTTGTCGTCTAACATGACTATTATTATTCCCATAAGTTCCAAATGGAACATAAGGCTTCAACAACACATTTTCTGCTGTCCTCTTTAGATGGGCCCACAAACCCCATTTTCTCTCATTTCCACTATATCACCCTCGGGAGACCCACTCGTCTTTTCCCATTCGGATTCCACTAGAGTGTGTGATCTCATTCGACGGTCTCCTCAGTGTATGAGCAATCCAACTCCACATTCTCCTACATATTTGCTGAACGATAGGTTCATGGTTAGTTTGTGGTCAGAGTGTCTTGTTGCTAATTCTTTCTGGCTGGCCATTTGATGTTGAGTATGGAGCTAAGGAAGTTGTGGATAAAAGTCTGCAGTAGGCTGTTGGAAATGATATTCGTGATGTGCTCGCCAATTTTCTGACCCATGTAGAAGAACTGACTGACTGACTTCACATTGATGTTGGATATCCGAATCTTGTTGTTTATGCAGCTGAGTGCATTGCAGAAGATTTACAAATTGATTTCAGACTGGTGAAGGTGTAACCTGCCTTACCGATTCTAGCTGGTACTGACATCTTCATCCGTTCCGAATGCCTTTGGTTGAAACGTTGCTTGTTGGCTAGATAAGTGACAGAATTAACCTCTTTCAAATTCCTCCCGTCGACGGTGATCGGTACTAGTAGCTGTTGTTGCTGTTGGTTGGTTACAGCCAACTCTGCGACTGAAAATCAAACTCAGGCTTTCTATGAGGCAGGCGGAGATAATCGCCACTCTACAATCGGGAATTCAGACTGACTGTTTGTTTATTATTCCGAAGGAGAATTAAAATATCTACCGGATGTCGTTTGTTAGTCAGATATCTCATGTGACGGCCCTCTCCAAAGATATCCTTCTACTTAATCTCAGACTTTTCGAAATGTGTATTCAGAAAACCTTGATACAAACGCTTCCTTCTTTTTGTTCTTCAAATGTATATATGCTTCAGCAGAGCTCTATGTTAGTTAAATTCGTTTTGGGAAATAAATGTTTTCAAAACTAGGATTAAACGGGGCTATACAGTGCTCCCCCTTTTTCTAATGATTTTGTAACCGATATTGATTAGTTACGGAATCTACACTGAAACTCATAAATTGTTTCGAATTAGACATGATAACACTGAACTTTAATTCACTTTAATGAAACGTTCCACTTTATTTCTGGTCAGTTTGTCGACTACTTATAGTTATATTAAAAAATCCCCAATTAGATATTCAGAAGGCAGAATGAACATCCTCAACAAGTTCAATGATACGCATTCCACAATAAACCCCTCCATAGAGGAAGAAAGTATTGACAGTATCTCATTCACAGACGTCTTCCAAGCCAGGAAAGAGGATGGTACACGAAGAAGGAGTGTGCATAGGTAATCTACAACAACAAGTCAGTACACTTATTCTCTGAGTTTTGCTACTTTAAAATGTATGGTTCATAGGGCTAGAATAATCTATCCAAACGACTTCTTCAATGAGGAACATCAGATTATTAGAGAATTACTAAAACAAACCAGTAGGGCAACAACAGGTGCCAAAAAACCATTGTTTATAAAATTACAGTCTCTCTGTGATAAAATCAGAGAAATTGTAATACAACGCCTGAAGAATGCAGTTAAAAAAGAATTCAGTGCGGCTACCGGGTAAGTTGTCTCTTCACTGCCATCTCTATTCCACGCTCTTCTGTGAATATCCATCAGTCTGACTGTTTCTATGGAGCAAGTTACATTTGGCATACACTTAGGCAAGTTCATCATCGCATTTCCGAACATCATCCAGCATGGTTAATCAAGGGGCAAACAAGATCTATTCTTAGCTCTATTTTAGCACACCTTGTAAACAGTAAGCATAGGGTTGACGTTAATACGATACTTAAAATTATTTATCGTATTCCTACTAATCTTAATTTTGCTTTACAAGATCGTCTTCTACATACAGCTGAAACTGCTGGAATCCATTTAAAGGAGACAAACTTGCGTGTTTAGAAGAAATTCCTACAGTAATTTTCTTCATCTTGGCCATCGTTACATGAATGTATAAATCGGACTACTTCTCTCTCCACTCCCCCCAAACCTTTTAAAAATTATAACTGTCCAAATTATTTTATTATTTCTCTGACCATTTCATCTTTAATTGCAAGTTAGCATTGTCTAAATCGCTTTATTTTTCCTTAATTATCTATTACGTAACCAACTTGAACATCCATCTATTCCTTAATTACTCTTCATCCTTCTAAGATTATGCATTATGCAATCCGCTTGTTGCAACCATTTCTACTCGTTAATCTGTATATTACTTATTATAACATTTAAGTAGGCATATCATATTCTATAAATTTTTAAAAACAATGAATAAAGTATCTAATTAATAACTAGGTAAAAATTCGAGTGGTTTCAACACTGATTCAGCCGGTGAAGATCTCAGCTGCAAAATGAATGAAACCACCATCCAGAGCTACTTAGATTACTGCGAAGTTCAACAATAGCGTCTCAGGAGTGCGAACGATCCAATGACCTTGAACACATGCTAGTCGTTGACTAAAGACACCTACCATTATTCCAGACCAAAAATGAACGCTGTTCATGAACTCAGGTGCAAATTTCACCCAGATCACGTATTTGAATGCTGTTAGGACAATGTGTTAATAGCTCATTAGGGCTAGGATTACGGTTAAGGTAGGCATTAGGGTTAAGGTTAGGATCAGGGTTATAATTAAGATTGGAGTTACTATTACGTTTAGAGTAGGGGTTAGGGGAAAAGTTCAACAGTAGCTTCCCAAGGGATGCAAACGTACGAGTGGCCTTCAGCTGACCATTCATAAAAATAGGTGACTTTTCCATAAAAAATGACGTATAATTACAAGAAAACGCATGAAAACACACTGAACAGGTTATCTTTCTCTGACACGACTTAAAAATACGTCCCAGTTATAATGAAAAAGTATCAGTTGCCAAGTTAGACTAGTTTCTGTACATGGGTATTCACCAAGATGACTGAAGATGAGCTGTTTTTGTGAATCGTTCATCTCTTTTATCCTGTTGTGCAGTCTTCCGCAAAAGCCCTCGGTTGAATTACTATGGTTTCCAGTAAGAGGATCGACGACTACTTACCAGGAAAATGTGGATAATAAAACAAATTAAAATAAATGGCATTAACTATAAATCTATCCCTAATCGTAACCCTTACTTTAATCCTAACCCTAATGATAACCCTAATGAGCTATTAGCACACTGTGCAAAAAGTACTTAAAAGCTTGATCTGGGTGAAATTTGCTGCTTTGCTGGTGAATAGCGTTGATATTTCAGCTGTGATAATGACAAGTGCCTTTAGCCAACAACTAGCATGCATTCAAAGCCATTGGAGCGTTCGCACCCCTGGTACGCTATTGTTGAACTTCACCGGGTTAGGGTCAGGATAAGTGTCAAGTTTACGATAAGGGATAGATTCAGATTAGGTATTAGTGATTTTGATCTGTTTTGTCATCCACATTTTCCCGGTAAATAGTCGTTGATCCTCTTACTGGAAACCGTAGTAATTCAGCCGAGGGCTTTAGGGAGAACTGCATTTTCACGTAGATAAATGTCATCTTTTTGTGCGAAAATCCCTCAATTTTGTGATTGGTCGACTCAAGGTCACTCATGAGTTCGCATCCTTTGGGACACTATTGTTTATATTACTTTTCATTTTATTTTTATTTTGATTGCAGCTTGATGCCACACCGTATTTTTCAGTACAAGTATGGAATTTTCAGCATGGATGTCGGTAGTCCAAATTTCGCAGGCCGACCATAGATATCGGGTGTGCGTCGGCAGGCGATCGAACCCCGGACCATGTGCATGCTCGGCGAGTCCTAACCACTGTGCCACCGACGAACTTTACCTGAAGCAATCTAGGCCAGCTGAATAGCTCATATAGTGAGTAATATCTAACAAAATATCTAATTCAACCAGAGCTGGTTATGGAACTTACTTAAATGAATTTGGTATCCAATAACCTTCTTTAATGTATAAAGGTGGTTCATAATTTGCCATGTGTAAATATTGCCAACTTTTTTCATCTGGCCAATCAGATGTCCAATCGTTCATTTGAGATAAAGTAATGTATTGAACACTCATTGGTATACCAAAATTACTTCTTGCTTTTAACCATGTGCCGGGAAAGTAAACTTTTAAACGTTTCGCTGAATAAATTTCTTTCGATCGTAATAATATTAATAACAATAATAATAATAATAATGATTTTAGTTTAATTCCAGTGTGAATATATATAAACATGATTTCATGGAAACAGACGCTGTCAAGATCTTCGATAGCTTCTCTCTTTTATCCAAGGTAGTAAGTAGTAGGAGGAGGAGACGTTTAGGACAATAGGCAAGCTATTGTTAATATGCGTATTTTAAATTCAAGGTCAATCGATAAAAATGCATCGATTTTTGCTTTTATATTGAATCAGTCGAGATATAATAATGGAGGAGCTCAACTAAATCATATAAAAAACAAGCCAGAAAAGGTGTGAATAAAACAGGATTTAATGAATTCACAGAATTTCGGTGGAAGCACTCTTCATCTGCTGAATACTCTATATACAGAGAGATATATACAAACCATAAGAATTACATTGGGAGATTTAAAACTGATGATTGCCAAACTAGGATAAAACAGCTGACTGTCCAGTACTCCCTGGTATTCTATGGTTCTCTATCTGACACCAACATGTGGTGTTACTCGAAAAACAAATCTAATCCTCACAAAACAACTCTTGAAAATAAACTACATTGAATTAATCACGCGGAATGACAGGTGTGGATGTTTTTCAGGTCATGTTCAAATAGATAAGGGGAGGAAGGGCGGATTAAATTTAAGATAAAATGCATTATACGGTTCAATGACATCACTTAAATAAACAATTAGTCATCACAGAAAGAACTTGAATATATCAAGAATGGAAAACTGAATAATATTCATAATAATAATATTGAAACTTGTCAAGATAATGCCACTGATATAAGGTAGTTTTAAATGAATCAGGAATAATAATAATAAGAGGCAGAATAAAGTAAATATGGATACTAATTTGATTGGAAAATGTGGAAATTTTAAATAGAGGAAACACCAAAATTGATGACAGAAAATTCATTGAAGCCTGGTACTCAAGTAAATCAGCCAGCGATTAACAAGCATATTTTTATAGACAAAATTTACCAGATAATAAAAAGAAAATTCAGTTAAAAGTGGCTAGTCTGCCTACTTTATCATTCAACTGAGGAATCACTATCGATCGTGTAGAAAATAAGACTTAGTCCAAGCCGGCCACAAAGCTAGCATTGAATAATCCTTCTCTATCATCTACCATGTACCTGGGTTCGAACACCAATGGGTGGGTACTGCCAATGATTCCCAAACTAGGATGAAATAGCTGTCCAGTACTACTGATGGTTTTCAATAGTTCTCTAACTGATATCAATCCGTGATCAGCTCGTAAAAACCAAATAAACTGCCGAAAACATCCAGGTATGGCATACTCCAAACAGCCAAGGCTATTGCGGTACTCCTTAAACAACCTATGCTGCGTGTGCAGTAGTAGCTAGTTCAGCCACTTCTACTGCGCTGGTCTTCAATGGACACTATAAGTTCGTGAATTGTGTATTATCGTCATTTTTCCTAATTTTTTTGATATTCAGTTTATTGTTATTTTAATGATATCGAACTATAATCCATTGTTATTATTATTATTATTATTATTATTATTATTATTGATTCGATGTCATTTAAACAACATCAATGTTGTTAATAACACTAATTCATTCATTCAATTTTATGGACGCATATAACTGTAGAACCTGATGAAGAAGAGCAGGTTATCGAAAAGAACATTCTTTGTTCAGTAACTATTCTTTTGAAAAGGTAAGTCACATGAAAAGTTCAAAACCCAAGTCAATAAAAATATGATCAATAGAGACGTGAATTAACATTCAGGCACGACACTGGTTGCCAGGATATATAATTACATCATGCATAGAGAATTTAAACAAACCCATTTTATAATGAAACCTGCGCTGAAGTTGTTGTCTAGATGCACGATGAAAGCTTCGAAATTAAATCAAACACCTCAGAGAACACAACTTATTCAAGAAACTGTATACAAATTTTGTTCGAAGTAATTAAATATACACTGCAGAACTGTATGTAATAAAGGCTATACTGGTCAAAGTTAGCATCTCCTTATCTATTTGCACTGATTAGAAATAATATATATCATGTATTTTCACAGTTAATTTATGTTCTTGGATTCTGATTCAAAGGCGACTCCTATTTTGACCGATATACTGTTTATTGCAGTTCATGCATGCAATTTATTTTGTAAATGGTATTAATTGTATCTTCCTTTTCTGTTGTGTGGGTCATTTGGTTTGCATAATATCAAATGAAGTGATTGTGCTGGCTGTCTGGCTGTCTGGTTGGTGTGCTATTTCAAATGGTCTTAATATTTGAGCTGTTATTTCAGAGATATTTTGGATATGTGGTAGGATGAACTTTCTTATGGTCTTTGATGTTGGCATGTTGTTGGTGTTATAACTTGTGTTTAAACCCTTTTTGATGAAATTGTGAGGATGTCCATTCTTTTTGAAGACAGTTATTAGGTATTTTTCTTCCATTCCCTTCAGCACCGAAGTGCTACAGTGCTTCTGGGCTTCATTTTAATAAGGAATAAATCACATGACAACAAAGTTCAAATTTCAAGTCAATAAAAGTAATCAATAAAGATGTAAATTAACAACCTATCACGCATTACAATGACTGTCATTATTATTATTATTTATATAATTATTTCCTTTAATTCCTAGAGGAACATAGGGCTTCAGCCATGCGTCTCCATTGCGTTCGGTTCTCTGCTAGAGTTTTCACCTGGCTCCAAGTCTGCCCACACGCTTTCAATTCCTCTTCACATGATCTCCTCCAGGTCACCCTTGGACGACCAACTCGTCGCTTCCCTTTCGGGTTCCACTCGAGCAATGGCTTGTCTAGTGATGTCACTTGCTGGTTTCCTCAGAGTGTGTCCAATCCATCTCCATTTCTTCCTGCCTATTTGTTTCACGATCGGTTCCTGGTTGGTTCGCTCCCAGAGATCTTTGTTGCTGATCCTCTCCGGCCATTTGATCTTGAGTATTGAGCGAAGGCATTTGTTAATGAAGGTCTGTAGCTTGTTTGAGCTGCTCTTTGTGACACGCCAAGTCTCTGATCCGTATAGTAGTACTGACTTCACATTGGAGTTGAAAATACGGATCTTATTTTTGACGCTGAATGCTGTTGACCTCCACATAGACTTGAGAGAAATGAAAACTTGTCTTGCTTTTCCGATTCTGGCTTTGATATCCTCGTCAGTTCCTCCTGTAGTTGAGACGATGCTTCCCAGGTAGGTGAAAGAAGTTGTTTCCTTTAGGTTCCTCCCATTTATGCTGATTGTTGTCGGTTGTTGCTGTTGATGTTGGCCAGGAATCTTCATTACCTCTGTTTTGTCTATGTTCACTTGAAGTCCTATCTTTGCTGCTTCTTCTGCCAATTTGTTGCTTTTCACTTGCATATCTTCCAGTTTGTGGGAAATCAGACATATATCATCGGCGAAATCCAAATCCTCCAAGGCTTTTGTGTCGGTCCATTTTATGCCTATTCCCTCGTTGGTTGCCGTTGTCTGCCGCATTATCCAATCAACTGCAATCAGGAAGATCATTGATGACAGTAGACAGCCTTGTCTCACTCCCGTCCTCACTTCAAAGGATTCCGTGAGCCTCCCGTTGTGGATTACTTGGCATGCAGCGTTGTCATACAGCTGTTGGATGAGATGTATAATTGTCGGCGGCACCCCGTAGTAGCGAAGTAGTTGCCAAATCACCTCTCGATCGACGCTGTCGAAGGCTTTCTCAAAATCGATGAAGTTGAGATAGAGAGGTGACTGCCATTCCAAACTTTGTTCAATGATAATCCGTAGTGTGGCGATTTGATCAATGCATGACTTGTTCCTCCTGAATCCGGCCTGTTCCGGACGAAGTTTTTCATCTAGGGCTTGTTTAATTCTCTCCAGGATGATGCGACATAGTATCTTGCTTGGAATGGACAGAAGCATAATTCCACGCCAGTTTTTACATTGACTCAAATCTCCTTTCTTTGGCAGTTTGAATAAGTATCCGTTCTTCCAATCCTCGGGTACTTTGCCCTCTTTCCACACCTTCTCTAGTAGTGGCGTCATCAAGTCCGCTGTTGTCTCTGGGTCTATTTTCAAAGCTTCTGCTGGGATTCCATCTGGTCCTGGCGCTTTCCCAGCTTTTAGCATCTTGATGGCATTCAGGACTTCGAATTTCGTCGGAGGGTACAATGACTGTCAGGAGATACAATTATGTCATCCTTCATAGAGAGAGAGAATTCAAAAACATTCACGTTTTATTAAAACCTGAGCTGAAGATGTTGTCTAGAAGGAAGACGAAAGCTGGGTAATTAAACCATCAACTAGCACCCAGAATACAACCGATGGACATGTAAGGGCATGTAAATGTATTTGATTTCAGGATGAAATGTAATGATCAAATCAGGCAGAGCTACCTGTTGGATACGTTTATCTAACTGTAGTCATACGGTATCAAAGCATGATTTGATAATCAGTACAAACCATATTTTTTGACCGAAATATGATTCAATTATTGATTCATATTATGTCATGATGTGCTTTATCGAAGCTATAACTGTGGTGACAGCTGTGTGTTAGTCAAATCGATAGACATCAATTTACGTCAATGTTTACGTCCCAAATCTTGGTCATGGGAAAAAAACAAGAACTAGGACTAACTCAGCAACCAATCACAGAAGACTTTGCGTGGGCGGATAAGATTCGCAGATATATGGTGTGACCTTCAAGGAAACAGTCACAAAGAGATGACAAATTAACTTTCGGCGAGAAAACAACCAATCAGAAGGCTCTGTTTCTCTGCTAACAATAACCTATAATAATGTACATAAAAATACATAAATATCTGCTGATTTTTTTAATGAACGATCTGCTGCCTGACTCTTCTCTTCTGTTGTTACATAACCATATTCCTTTGACCAGAATCGACCGACAAGTCCTGATGTTCACATTATGAGGCAAATTATTTTTGTTTGAAAAAACATATAAGGATAATTGTTAATAATCTTTACTGGAGATTAATTGGAAATGGAAATCAAATCAAGTCTCTAACTAAATCTCATCGACTTTGGAAAAGCCTT